AGAGAAGTTATATCATACAATTTCGAGGGCCACAGAATGGGACCTCTAGTTCCAATCCAAGATGGTCCAAACTCTTCATTTCAATCCATCTTGCTGATAATAAACACTCCTTCCGAGAATTAATGGTAAGTTTTCCAAAAATATTCGTCAAATATATAACCATCCGCAATCAGATTTTTACTAAAAAAAAATAAGATCCACAAATCTACATTGAATTCAAAGCCACCTTGCATGAATAAGTGCTCCAGTGATAAGAATTGATCTGTTAAATATTCAGTCAATTCAGTCAAATAGTCGAATATCGATTACACAATTAACAATAATACACACACACACACACACACACACACACACACACACACACACACACACACACACACACACACACACACACACACACACACACACACACACACACACACACACACACACACACACACACACACACACACACACACACACACACACACACACACACACACACACACACACACACACACACACACACACACACACACACACACACACACACACACACACACACACACACACACACACACACACACACACACACACACACACACACACACACACACACACACACACACACACACACACACACACACACACACACACACACACACACACACACACACACACACACACACACACACACACACACACACACACACACACACACACACACACACACACACACACACACACACACACACACACACACACACACACACACACACACACACACACACACACACACACACACACACACACACACACACACACACACACACACACACACACACACACACACACACACACACACACACACACACACACACACACACACACACACACACACACACACACACACACACACACACACACACACACACACACACACACACACACACACACACACACACACACACACACACACACACACACACACACACACACACACACACACACACACACACACACACACACACACACACACACACACACACACACACACACACACACACACACACACACACACACACACACACACACACACACACACACACACACACACACACACACACACACACACACACACACACACACACACACACACACACACACACACACACACACACACACACACACACACACACACACACACACACACACACACACACACACACACACACACACACACACACACACACACACACACACACACACACACACACACACACACACACACACACACACACACACACACACACACACACACACACACACACACACACACACACACACACACACACACACACACACACACACACACACACACACACACACACACACACACACACACACACACACACACACACACACACACACACACACACACACACACACACACACACACACACACACACACACACACACACACACACACACACACACACACACACACAATAATTGGTGAACTTTCCCGGCCTGACATAGATGCAGCTCCAGTATCACGTCTTCTTTTAAATATATACCTTAGTAGGCTGCGAAAAAAAAATGAAGTCTTGCGTCAAATAGTTTTTTATTGACAGCATTTTAAACAAGACGTGTTCGAAAAAATGTCGCAAATAACGCAAATTGAGTATAGGGCAGTCATAAAGTTTTTGACAAAAGAAGGGTTAGCACCTAAAATTATTAAAGAAAGGCTGGATGGTGTGTACGGCCAAAGTTCTCCTTCGTATTCTGTAGTGAAAGAATGGGCAAAACGTTTTCGAATGGGGCAGGACTCCCTTGAAGATAATTCAAGAACTGGTCGACCAGTGGAGGTCATAACGGAAGATATTGTTGCGATTGTTGAAGAGGTGGTATGGAGTGATCGACGTTTAAAGGTCAAGGAAATCTTAGAAATTACTAAGCTTTTTGATATAAGTGTTCGTCGAATCCTGCATGATCATTTAGGTATGCATAAGGTTAGTGCAAGATGGGTTCCTAAAAACCTTTCGGCTATTCAAAAACAACGCGGTATCGAGTGTGCACGGTCTTTTTTGGAACTCTGTGGGTCGGAACCGAAACCTGTGATAGAAACTATTGTGACGGGAGATGAAAGTATGGTTCTATGGTAGTGAAGGCATGCGGTTTAACCATTAAATTTTTTTAATTCACAAATAGGTTTCTCCTGTTAAAAACTCCAATCGCGACCACCCTGTATATGTCTTAAACCCCTCATTCGTGTTCTGCAAATCGATTAAATAATAATTATTAAAATCGCTATATGAAATTCCAATCAAATGCAAAGATGAAGGTGTTTAAAATAAAATTAGACAAGATGGCGCCAATATGACCTCGTTTTTGAAACAAACGACAAGTAAATATTTGAAAGGGCAATTCTAAAGTGATTACCGCCGAACTAAAAAATTTACAGGCTGAATTTATTTTAAAGGTTTTTTTTTTAATTTAATCTGGCGTCAAAAGAGAGAGAGAGAGAGAGAGCTTCGTTCTTTGGACAAGTGAGCTAAGGACGTTCGCCCATTTTGGTGTTAAGTTGTTTGCCTAACAACAGGATCAATTTAATCTACTATAAAAGTGAAGTGATGTAATTTTCATTTCAACAACTAGATACACGGTGTCCCATTTAAATATAAAAAAATAATATATAGAATAAAGAATATAGAGAAACCTGCCTGGTGTATCACAGATCCATACTCATATATATCGTTGAATTTATCTTTGAAAGGACTAACTGACTAACTAACTAACTAACCAAAAATGCAATAAAATGTAGGGTGTTCTATTTTAATAAATGCAACTGTAAAATGTAAAATTAAAAAACAGGTCATTTTAATAGAAACAGCTTTTGTACTTATTTTTTTTTGTATCCCCCGTAGGTTTTGAGATAAGGTATAGGCCCCTCTTAAACGAGCCACCCTGTACGTGAAAAAGAGCTCATGTTGGAGCATTTTTTGTGAACCTCTGTTAATTTCATTTTCCCAAGTCAAAATAAACTAACCGAGTAAAATTCGAAAATTTCGTGGGTTTTTGGACAAATATTCGCTTATAGGCTATCGTAAAAAAATGGCCTCGCAGTTTGTACGAGTGCAAGACCTCTAAACGAGGATATACGGTTGACCGATGGCCAGGATGCGTGTGTGTGTGTGGGGATCGTACTTGATATTCGATAAAACATAGGGTCAACAAAGCGGTCTATCTAATGCTACGTGCGGCAGCGTCGAACGCTAGGACGAAATAACAATGCTGCGAAATGTATACGGGTAGGATTACTGCGAGTAAAATGCAAAACAGTGGCAATTAAACAGGTTGTTTAAACGCTTATCGATCATCGTGTTTTACGTTTTGCTTTCTTCGTTACGCTGCCGGTAACCGAACTCCGCGGACACCGACCACATGTTAATTCCGTGAAGATGTCATTGCGGATTGAGATAACTAATAAAAAGAGGGTGACGAATTAAACCGGAATAATCGGAGTACCGTTATAGCGGACAGGCGGACATAATTACTTTTTTCTATTATGGAAAATCTGGCAGCAATGAATATGATTTTTGTAAATCGGCAACATCGCACCAGCCGCACTAGGGACTGGATAGCCAACTTTAGAGGAATTTATTGCTTTTCGGTGTTAATATTTTTTTGATATTTTTATTTAATTTCGGGGATGTTATACAGGGTGTCCAAGTAGTGTGTCAAAGTAATATGTCTTGTTTATTATTAAATGTTAAATACAAAAGTTATAAATAAGACTATGAGAAACAATTTAAGATTTTCAAATATACAGAGCGGTTTATACCCTGTATATTATTGCATTAGTGGATACCGACTTTTACAACCAATTAATCAATGTAGGGTTGTAATTTTATTATACCATCAATTTTATAAAGTAGTGCAGTCATTTATTCTATACTTGTTAGTTCGAATCGATCATACAATAAAAATAAAAATAAATAATAATAATAAAAATACCAATTTTCCTGAAAAAAACAAATGGAACACCTTGGACTTATTAATTACTCCTATTAATACTCTTTCTATTTTGTTCAGCATTCCCTATATTTAAACTTAATATTTTTTCAGGTATGCACATTTTTACGATTAGAAGTCCAAAAATTTGTCAAACTATGAGAAAATATTGCAATAATCTCAGAAAAATAAAAATAAATAGGCAAATTTTCATTTTTGTGAAAAAAATGTTTCCTTCCTTTCCATTCATTTAGATTATTATAATTATTATTATTGTTATTATTATTATTATTATTAATCATTGTTATTATACTTCCCAATCGTTTAAAGTGAGTGAATCTGCAGTTTAATTTCTCACATATTAATAAATCACCCTGTATTTTTCAATTGTTTCTTTTAATCTCTATCTATATCTATTTAATCTTAATCAATGATTTTTGCATTTAAATTTTTTCTCTGAACCAAATAATAAACGGGATGTATTACCTTGACAAACTATTTGGACACCCTGTATTCATTAATTTAACACTAGCACTGTCCCTTTACCATTTGAAGATATTTTTCATTTGCTTTACTTTAATAAACTTTTATATATCATAAATCATAATATAGAATAGATAATACGATTGTACAGAGTGAGTCAACTATAGAGTAATGTTCATGGTAAATAGAAAAGTTGTATAGACTGTAAAATGTAAAAATATTTTAAAATATACAGGGTGGCTCAAAAATGCGGGACGAATGAACCACATTTTGTTTCGAAATCCTTTTAAAATTCTTCAACTTTTTTATTGATATTAACACATGCCTAAACCTAATGGTTATCCCATTATTTTAATTTTTCTAAAAAAAATACTAGTTTTCACACTAAAAAATTTTTCGAGAGCTACAATATTGTGGTTTTCGTCGATCGTATAGGTTGCGCGAAATATTCGAATCTGAGCTGAGCTGAATTTTTTTTATTTTTCAAGTGTGACTTTGAAGTTAGATAGAAGCCGACTACTTACTTCAGATGTTGGTATGTCGAAGGCCTCTGCAATCTTCTGATAGAGTTCTCTGACATTGGAAAAGCCCGAGACGAACGCAGTCGGGCTTCCGTGCGCCAGCTGGCAGTGAAAATGGAGCGAATTGGTGACGGGCGACACTGACGTCTTGTAGTTGTTGTTTTCCAGAGTCCCGTTGGACATGGGAGGCGCGGTCGGTGTCGGCAAGGGTGCCGGTTTCGGCTTGTGTTTTTTGAACATGTTTTGACAGTTCTGGAAGAAAATAAAAATTGTATTTAAGACATGAACAAATCCAAATCCAGATGGTGATATACAATACACGACAATCAAATAAAAGTGGATTCAGAAACGGTAGAAGTATCCAGGATCACATATGGATACTTAAACAAATAGCTAAAAAGGAAATAGCTGAAGATAAACATACTAGAGTTACAAAAAGCGACAAAATGAGTAACACGTCAATTGAACTGATGGGAACATTAGACGATAGGTAAAACAGGCATGGGAAGCTAAAAGACCAGGAGGTCTAGATCCTTAGAAGGCAGCAGCGACCACCAGTACCAAGAAAAGGCGTAAAGAAAATTATTCTGGACCGGTTCATTGTTGGAATACTATAAATGTGACTGTAGCAGTTTGAACAGTTATAGTACTGTGATGAGGAAGCAACGGAAAACCACCCCATTATTGTCTTTCATAGTACGACTATCATGGTATCAAACAAAATACAAATGCAATGCTGCCTTCAGACCCAAAAGCAAGATAAACTCGTATGACAGCGAAAATAGTTGCTTAATGTACGAAAGGCGTAAGCATAAAAATAACAGCATCAAATTTAAAGAAATCGACAACATCGTTCAAAGAAAAATTAAATCTGCCAAAGAAAACTGGATAACGAGGGAGTGTGATGAAGTGGAGGAATACGAGCGAAGATATGACAGCTTCAATCTGCACGGGAAGCTGAAAGAGATGACTGGAATGAAGAAATATAGGCAGTCTACTGTATTGAGAAGTTCCGACAGAATTATAGATGAAGATACAATTATGATCCTCGTAAATCTCTTTAATATCATATACTCAACCGGAGTTATTCCAAGACAGTGGCGTTCATCTACATTTATAACGTTACCTAAGAAACAAAATGTTACAGAATGTTCCGATCATCGAACAATAGCCCTTATGGGTCACACTTGGTGTTTTTAAGAATTATTCATAATAGAATATTCGCTAGGTTGGATTCCGAAATCAGCGATAGCCGGTTAGGCTTTAGAAAGGGTATGGGGACTAGAGAGGTTCTGTTGATGTCGATGTCTCGACATGAACCAAGATGTCCAAGCCTGTTTTGTTGAATTTGAAAAGGCGCTTGATAAAGTTTGACACCAAAAACTTAAAGAAACAGTACAGAACATGAACATTGATAATCGGGACATCAGAATCATCGCGAATCTTTAGTGGAACCAAACAGGAAGAGTCAGAATTGAAGATCAGCTTACAGATGAAGTGGAGGGCTATATTCTCTCTCTCCTCTACTAATACTAATGTATATAGTGAGACAATTTTCAGTGAAGCTATGGATGAACAGCAGGAGCACGTTGCCATAAACGGACAGATTTTAAACAACTTACGTTATGCAGACGACACCATAGGTTGAAATGCGGATCTTGTCGTAAAATTTATAACGGACAAACAGGTAGATCCTTCAAGAAACGCATTAACGAACATAAAAGAGCGTTTAAAAACAATAGCCTAGATTCTAATTATGCTACATAGTTAAAAACAGAAAAACACATTTTTGACGACAATTTTGATATTTTACATACAGGCACAAAAAGTAGAAAATTAAATTTATTGGAAGCCACGGAGATTAACAAAATGAGAGATTCAAGTGTATTGCTTAACGATCAATTAGATTTAAATATCTCTCCTTTATTGAACTTAAAATCTCACAAAAACATTAATTAAGGTTTTATTGTCATTTTTCAGTATATACAGTAGCAGGTAGTTTGTATATATTACATTTGATAAAGACACGGTGTTGTCGAAACAATTGTCATGTGAAAATATATAATTTCGTGAAAATCTGAACTCTTAGTTCTTATTTATTTTGACAATTAAAAATATTTGAGAAATCACCCCGCGATATATGGAGCGTGCATTAAATAACACCACTATTCATGTATAGGGCGACAATTTGCAAATTTGCGGAGGAAGGTTCAGTCTCCTTTCGAAAGTCGGCCGCACGCCGACTCACTCAATTATTTCATCATCGCCTATTGTCGCAACAATAACTGCGACGTCACTATTTTATTGTTCCTTATAAAAGGATCTGACTCACGGCGACGTGTTAGCATCATTCAAATACCGCAGTATTCGTTAGTTGGATGAATTTAGCAAGACAAATAATAAAAAATTAAACCAGTATAAGTGTGTACTATTTTTATAGTATATATTATTAAAGACTATAAACAAAGAAATAACATATTACAAAGAGTACAGGGTGGTCCTTTTATGGTCTGTGAAGATAAGAAAAAAATATATTGTTATATACAAAAGACGTTCGAATTTTTGTGGAAAACAAAAAACTTTTTTATCCTAAATGCAATTCTTTGCAAATTTCTGCACATATATAATATTGCATGCACTTGCATATTTGGAGTTGATTCCTTGATGAAAACATACTTAATTTTTTTTTTAAGGAAATGAGGTAACTTATAAAGTTAGAGACTTCGAAATATTAACAAAAAAACGTGGCGAAAAAAATTATTGAACCCTACTAAAAGGCACTATTTTGAAATCAATGTTTGACGCTCTTATGACACCTAAGATAGGCGTTCATTATTGATTTTTTAAAAAATTTCTATTTCTTATAAATCGATGAAAAAACCGCGGAAAAATCGTTTTTTTGGAAAATTTTCTACAGAGGTAACAATTTATATTTGAAAAAAAAAAGACTTCAGAAGATTTTTTTCATTTGAATTTTTAAAGATACTTTTTGATCACCCTGTATTTTTAAACAAAACCGTAACCACTTAGCTGTTATATAAGAAATATGTCTAGAGAGTTTGAAGAAATTCGAAAATACCTATATACAGTGTGTATTTATACCAATATAATATTTTAAAAGTAAATGAATTCAACAACTTTTGTGTTTTTTTTTTTTATTTTTTTTTATTTCTGTTTTTGGGATAACGGACACTAATTATAAAATACGTCATTTAAAGAACTGCCATCATTTCTTCGTATTAAAATTAAATATTTCCATCACGTTATAAGAATATTGAAAAGCGATCTATCGCCAAAGGTTTTTCTGAGAGATAAATCACTGAGGTGTTTCGTCTGTTCACTTTTTACACAAGTTTCACTCAAAATATTATTATTTAATATTATTAAAAATTATAACTGTCCTAATAAATCCTTGAATAATTGTTTTTTTTTTACTTTACTTTACTTTTATGTGCACATTTGGTGGTATCTTATTTGAATACGAAATATCGCTTATGATATGACAACATCGAGTAGTTTTTGAAAAACTGTATAAAATAACAGGGATGTTTGAAAAAATTGAGGTGTTTCGTAGACACGGAGTTTATTAAAAAAAACTTTACTTTTTAAATCCAAAACCCTGTATATTCCTACTTAAGATGAAAGTCATTTTCAAAAGTAGAATTTAATAATTATCATCAAGAAAAGTGTTGAGTATATTTTTGGGTACAACAGTTACTCAAAACAATCATTAATTTACAAATATTCAGAGTGATCTCCATCGTTGTCTCAATAGTAGATTTTTTTCTCTCAAAACAAAGTCATAATAGTCTCTGTTAATTGAAAATAATTTTTTGTCTTAAAATATTTCTGTTTCCCGGTTTATCGCAATATATTTCATTTTTTAAGTAACCCCATAAGAATAGGTCTAGGAGAATTAAATCAGGGCTATTCGGCGGCCTATCCAAAACTCATATTTTTTATTGAGATACTGCGTGACTGAGCATCATTATGTCGTAGAGCACAGGATTTCTACTTCATGTTGAAGCAATTGCCCATTATAGTGCCTTCGAAAATTACTCGTTTCATAACTTTATCAGCCAACATGCAGCACCAAACACGAAGAGACCACCTACCGCTTGTGTTTTGCGGAAATTTTCAGTCCAGTCCAGCTTATTTTTCCCGTTGAACATCCCTGTAGTAGTCAAGGTCGCTTCATCAGTAAAAATAATTTTGTTCAAAAAATTCCTACCACTTTTAAGATTTTCAATCATTTCTTGACAATATGAAGTCGCTAAATCATGTAGAGCGTATTTGTATTGGTGGAAATTGTATATCATGAAATTTTTCCGATGATCTGTTCATATCATTTACAGCATCAGGGGTTGTTTGAATAAAAACGGGAAATTATGTCATGTTTTTTTGATCTTCCCATAACCCATATTAGAAAGAAATAGTAATTCTAATGTCTGCTAGAGACCATCTATGTATTTTGAAATAGTGATAAAAAATATTTTCATCTTAAGAAGGAATATACAGGGTGTTTCATTTAAAAAAGCGGAGTTCTTATTTTTATTGGTACGTTATGACGCTATTTTTGTATAGAAAGGCTTTGCCTACTGTAAACCCTGCGGGTGGGTGTCAAAATATAAATGACAGCACTGTGAATATTTTTTCGATGATTTGTCCTCGATTTGTCCAAAGAAATTCATTAACGGCCTCTCAGAACCACCCATTTCCTTTAGCAAACCTTAGACCTTGGCCTCTTCTGACATCCTTTAACTTACTCAATGTGTTAATAGGATTATTAACTGATTCAATTTCCATAATTCCTATAATTAAACTAATTTCTATCATTTTAATCTTCGATAATGACGAGGCATTACTCTTCGACTTCTGTCGGATTGAATAACGCCATTTTTATTAGTCTTCGCTGCATCGGGGAAACCGATTGTTGCCAAAATTTCAAAATAATTAAATTTAATACATCCTGTTGCAGAATCCAACGCAATCAGTTGAACAAGTAGGACGCCGAATTGCGGCAGATTAAAAATATAGTCGACGCGATATAACCAGTTAGTTTTACGGGTGGCTTTGGACGCAAAGAGCAAATACAATTTCCACCGTGCCTGAAAATGTAATAATAATCGCCCTCAAGGTTATTTTGCAACGGTCGACGCAGTATCCGCGTTCGTGCGCCGTCCGAAGAAATTCACTCACACATTCCAATCTTGCTCGTTGCTATTTTATTCCGATGCAGTCATCGACTATACGACGGTCACTTGAAAAGTTTCCGACCTAACATGATAAAAGACATTTTTTCTCGTAGTCTTCTATACACTTCTTCCATCTCTCTAGCCCGTCCAAATAGTATGGTCAGTTCATAGATATAAGAAAGTGATCAATTGCTTTTGAATGGAATTATCAAAGGGTGGTCATTAACATACAATGCAACAAGATTATTACCTAAATTTTCGGAATTTAAATTCAGGTAAAATTCTGGTCCGTAATAGAAAATAATTTTATACCTACCTGTGTTTAATATTCTTTGGTTTGGTATACTACTTAGTTTAAGTTTATTATTTTTATTCTTATTTCATGCGTAATACAGCGTGTGTTGAAGCGTGTGCGAATTATGCAAAATATGTGCGAGTCTAGTGTATCTCAGGAGATGCTCCCGCCCAAATGTAGAAAACACTATTCTATTGAGTCTAAGGAAGTTATAAACAATGTTTATTTGACTCTCATTGAACGTGGTGCCAGTAAGCAAGCATCTTTAGAAGAAACGGCCAGATTGACGAAAATTCCAACATCAACTGTATGGAAAATTGTGAATGTTCTCGAGTGTAGATGAAAGTGATTGAGGAACAAAGCATGCCTACATTAGATATCTTAATTAGGAGGCTTTAAAAACATGAAACCGGTGTTCAACACATGGGTTTTAGTTTTAAAAAAATCAACAAAGGACGAGTATTAATGAAGTCTTTTAGAATTCGGAAATGGCGACTGGAATATCTAGAAAAAAATATAATTTACAGAGAACAACAAAGGCCAATTATTTACTTGGATGAAACCTGGTTCGACACTTATGATACCCCGGAAAAGGGTTGGGTTGACTCAACTGATAAGTGTAAAACAAACGCGCAATCAAAAAGAGGTAAAAGAATAACTATTTTGCATGCTGGCTCTAAAGATGGTTGGATTCCAAATGAACTTTCTCTGTCTGCGAAAAATATTAAAGATTCTTCTCTGGATTACCACCGCTGATTTATTTGAAAGTTGGTTTAAAAAGAAACTAGTTCCAAACATTCCTCCTAATAGCGTAATTGTAATGGTACACACAGTCACAGTAGACAGTTGACTAAAACCCCTTCCTCATGTGACACAAAACTACATGTATAATAACGACATTTATTTTCACGAAGGTTATACCAAAAAGCCATTAATTGAGGTTCTACAAAGATTGAACCTACAAAAGGAATACGTCTGTGATAATTATGCAAAAAATCTAGGGCATACAGGTTTCCACCTTACTACTATATTTTAATCCCATTGAACATGTTTGGCACCAACTGAAATTCGTCGTAACAATGTTTTTCCCCGTGTTGGGCAAATTCTGTTAAATATATAGAAAAAGCAGAACAATCGTATATCCATGTTAGAACAGACGATGATAGCAATAGTGATACTGATATATTATGTGAATAATTTTAGGTAATTTAAGTAGGTAATAGAAATAATTTATAATTTTATTTTAGATTGAAACATAAATACATACATAAATAAATAAATATTGTTCAGTATCTTTCCTAACAAAACCCCAAATAATTAAATTCTAAGTAAAGTACGGACCCGTTCGGCCATATTTGATTCTTACAGCTTGCCCGGGTCTTTCCTTAATTCGTATCAGTTAGTCACTTTCTTATATCTATGAACAGACTTTACCAATCAATTAATGTATGGTGTGGTGTCATACATGGGCATATTTTGGGGCCGATATTTATAAATCAAAAGTTAACTGGAGATCATTATTTGCAACTCTTAGAGCACTGAATAGAACACTATATAGAAGATTTACCCCTAAATATATCAGCGCTGATTATATGGCAGCAAGACGGCCGCCCCTCCTCACAATGTTGTGCAAGTTTATTATTATATTATATTATATTATATTATTATTAATGTATTTTTTATTTTGGGGACACCATAAAAAATCACGTGGACAGAACACCTTGTAATAATGTCGCGGAACTTCGGCAAAGGATTTCAGAGGCAATCAGTCAGTTAAGAGACAATCCGGAAAGGTTACTAAATGCAAGACGCCATACTATTAGAGTATATAAGAAACGTGTTCAGGGAAATGGTATTTAGAATGGTTAAAGAATTTTTTACTTTTGTATGTCTTGTCGTTTTTAATGTTTTTGTTCTATTTTAATTTGTAAATAATTATTGTTGTTGCAGTCAGTCAGGGCACCCTTTGAAATTATATAAAAATGTACTAAATTATAAAGTATATTACATTATTATAATCGGAATTACATATTCTATTAAACACATATATAATATACAGGGTGTTGCACTCAAAAAAATGTGATGTAGACTTATATATCAGAAAATTGATGGTGCGCTGTTTTATACGTCACTTGGAAAAAAGTTACAGACAATTAAAATGTTATCAAGATAAATCGAGCGCAGGGTGTCCGTCTGTAGACGTACCTTTTATTGTTTCTGTTTTCCTTTCTCCAGGCGGCTCGAACAACGACCAAGTCTCGCGGTCCACCCGAATCACCAACGAAACACGAAACACTCTCGAACTCTAATCAAAACCGCGCTGTCGCATTTCGTCGGCAAAAATTTATCGCCAACTCGATAAGACAGAGAACGTTATCTCGGGCGATAGTCGAGAGAGGTCGCGCGCAACCGTCGAATCACGATTCTGAAAATCGGCCCGTGTGCATTATCGGTAATTTTCCAACGACGTCCTCGATTTTTTTCGCTTTCCGCGCACAGCACTCTCGATCCACTCACGATCACCGGTAAACTGATCATCGACTGGTTGCAGTTCCGCCGTCCGGCGGGTTCAGAGACTGGGGTTTCGATCAGTTGACGCGGCAATCAGGTGTAATTGGATGCGGAAAATTAAATAAGCCCGTTCGTTTACAGAGTGCGCGAGGTTCAAGGCTGGACCCGCGTGGGAAAGCTCCGACGCTGCGGAGAAAATTTTAAACATTTCTCGTATCACCTTTTTTCCAGTAAATATCTGCCAAGACTTGCAAAAATGTTTAATAAGTATTTCTTCTGATCCTACAGTGTCCAAATAGTTCGTAAAACTAATATTACTAATTATATTATAAAATAATGTATATTTAACCCTGTCCTCTAAGAGACTTCCACCTTGTCGCTGGTGATGGTGCTTAGTAATCTTCAATATCTTCAATACGGTGCTAAGAATCTCCCCGTCAGCCAATTATCAAGGGAAGTGTCTTAAAATGCATAAAAATAACATCAGAATCGCAACGTGGAATGTAGGAAAGATGGACAACGTTCTTGCAGAAATGGAGAGGTTGAGAATTGATGTGTGGGGTGCGAGTAAAATAGTAGTTTATTATTAGCAGAAAAGCTAGAAAGCCACCACCAAACACAAGGCTTTTCACAAACATATAAAAGCAAAACCTCTGCTAGTTGGCATTAATATAAGCTAATGAAACATCAAACTAATTGGCAATTAGACAAGAGAATATGCATACCTCCAGCACACAATTAGCACTAATCTAAACAACTTAAAAGTTTTTTGGAGAAAATTAGGTTTTCAGTCTAATTCTTTACCAGATAATTTCAATAATCCCAACGAAATAAATAAACATTTTTTAAATACAAATAAATATATTTCCAATTCTATATAGTATCTTTCCTGATTACCATTGACCAAAAAAACAAAATATGGATTTCACACAAATAAGTAGCAGCGCCAAAATGTCCGGGCCTGAGTATGAAAGTAGAGCAACATTTTTTTATGATTTTTCAATATAATTCCCCTTAACATCCAATACACTTATTACATCTCTTTACGTAAGTCCTTTTTCAAATATCCGAACAAATAATAGTCGTTGAGGGCCATATCTGGACTATAGGGAGGATGATCTATCTGCTGGAACCCACAATCTAAAATGGCACACCAGCAGTATGGACAGGTGCATTATGGTCAGTTTTCCTCAACGTTTTACAAATATGCAGTCTCGCAATTTATGTAATAATGTTGCGTAATATTTACCATTGACCGTGGTTTTAGTTTCTTTAAAATCTATCAAAAGAATTCCTTCACAAACCCAAAAGATCGTGGCCATCACCTTTTTTGTTGACTGGCAGTCTCTGAATTTCCTTGGAGGTGCTTCACGCTTACTACGCCACTCCATTGATTCTTTTTTCTATAGTTTCATCTCCTGTCACAATAGTTTCTATCACGGGCTTCGGTTACGAGCCACAGAGTTCCAAAAAAGACCGCGCACACTTGACACGGCGTTGATTTTGAATAGTCGAAAGGTTTTTAGGAACCCATCTTGCATTAACCTTATGCATGTTGCATGATCATGCAGGATTCGACGAACACTTGTATCGGAGAGCTTAGTAATTTCTGAGATTTCCTTGACGTTTGAAAGTCGATCACTCAATACCACCTCTTCCATAATCGCAACATTATCTTCCGTTACGACCTGCACTGGTCGACCAGTTCTTGAATCATCTTCAAGGGACTCCTGCCCCATTCGAAAACGTCTTGTCCATTCTTTCACTACAGAATACGAATGAGAACTTTGGCCGTACACACCATCCAGCCTTTCTTTAATCATTTTAGGTGCTAACCCTTCTTTTGTCAAAAATTTTATGACTGCTCTATACTCAATTTGCGTTATTTGCCAAATTTTTTCGGACAAGTCTTGTTTAAAATGCTGTCAACAAAAAACTATTTGACGCAAGATTTCTTTTTTTTCCCAGCCTACTAAGATATATATTTAAAAGAAGACAGTTTTAGTGATGGAAAAGATTTTAAATTTTCCAACAAGAGAACATTTAAGTCTTCATAACATTTTGCGTCAATTCCAACCAGGATTCACAGAGCGCCTTCGATTGGTAGTAGATGAAGTAGATCATGAGCTACTTCTGTCAATTCTGCACTATATTGGATTTGTGGCACTCATGAGTTTGTGGAAACGCAGATATTTGGCGTGCCTCGAGGTTCAATTCGGGGGCCTATTTTATTTTGTAGTATAGTAGTAGTAGTATATGTGTAGTATAGTTGTACTTGTAACATAATGGATTCTATAAATCATTGGCAAATTCATCTATATGCTGACAGTACTGAACTGTACATTTCTTTTAACGCGAACCTGTTAATTAATTCCTTCATAAATCGTATCGCAACTTGTGTTTATTTTTTTGCATCAACTTTAAGGTTTAAGCCTCACAAATCTATTCAACGTGCCTATGCAAATCTGAAAAATTTTCTTTAATCTTATTTAAGATCAGTGGTATCCGTCGTCGTCAGCCTGTATCTCACAAATTGGCGGCAACCTCAGTGACCTTCCACAAACATATCTAATATGGTTAGTCTTGATTAGCTTTTTGATATCTGTTGGCCATATTTGTGATCTTGTATATGAAAATTTAAGCCATTTTGAAACGTGTCTAATAATTTTCTTCGCCGTCTCGAAGAGGACTGCCATTCAAGTTAAATATCTAGGTCATATTCATTATCATCATCCTTTACGATCTTTTCACATCTCTCCAATACTTGGCGTTAATTAGAATTTAAACGAAAACCTCTCAAATATTTAACATCCGTTGTGAAAACTACGAAGATATTTTGTCCAGTAGCGCCGCTACTGTTTAATGGTAAATTTCGAATATAGGAATAAGCGATAAAAAGTGTATGGAAGCTTTGTGACATCTCGTGTGTGGGCACGTTTACACATACACTTCTCCAGCTAAAACTGAACAAAATTTCAAAATAAATTAAAACTAAAAGTTCAGTTTTTTACGAAATAATATATTTTTTACATGACAGTTGTTTCGACGACACCGTGTCTTTATCAAATATAATATTTACAAACTACCTGCTACTATATATATACCCAAAAATGGCATTTGATAAAGACTGATTGAAAGAATTGTTGTCGAAACAATTGTCATGTAAAAAAATATATAATTTCCTGAAAATCTGAACTTTTAGTTCTTATTTATTTTGATAAATGGATTTTCTACAAGTAAAAGCCACCTCAGTTAAATTTAAAAAAAAAACTTGTTCGAGAACCAAGACTGGCTACATTATCGATTACTAACAAGGCTTTTTGCATTTTCCTCTAATCAAACCAAAACAAAAAGGTTCAGTATAATTCACGAATGTAAGTGAAATATGCGTTACCTTTCTGGAATGTGGTCACGCTGGCTTCAAATAACGTATTTCTTATTTATTTATATTTTAGCAATGATCCCGAACCTAAAGTGATATTTATGAATTTAAATTAATTAATGAGTTTGTTAAGCTCGTACAATCATCGATTTTGTATCTGGGTTTTTTCCATTCAAAAAAAAAAACAAGATATTCAAATCTGTCATTGCTGATTGAATCTTCGCGGCATCTTGCAAAGTTTATACTTACAACAAATCAATGTCAATTGTGGACGAATATAATCTGCAAGACATAACAAAAACCGGCATTGACTGTTATAAAGAAACGAAAAAAATTTTTGAAATTTTTTTGTCTGTCAGTTAATATAGATTAAACGAAACTAATAAAAAATGACGTCATTCCAGACCATTCATTAACCAGGGTATGTGTAAAATTGTAGGTCATTGCTTTAATTAGTATTTATTTGACAACCGTTTAATCAAAACGCTATTCACATTTTTGCACACACAATGTTTAAAATATGGGTTTGTGAATTTGTGAAAAATATATACTAACACTAACTAAAACAGTGAACTGCAACCGGTGAACCAACAAATAAAGCAAAGAAAATCAAAAAGTGTGGTTTTCATTGTCATGTCTGAGACTTATCAACTTACCCCCGTAAAGAGAAGGCGTTAAATGTTTGACCATGGTCCAATGTTGCTGTTGACTTTCTGCTTATTAATTGTGAAGAAATAAGCAAGATATGTTTAATAAATTCTGGATACATTCAGAATAATAACTTAAATCAAAAAAAATCAATACCTTTCTCTGGAAAACTTGAAAATGATGTATGTATATTAGATGATGAAACTGCGCACAATAACTACAAAATATTGAAAAATCTAGTAGATAAACAGGCCGCTGAAGAAAAAAAAGCTTTCTTTTCAAACTTGATAAATCTCCCAGAAAAACCAAAAAAATTTGGGAACTAGTCAAATATTCACAATGTTATTTTTAACAATGATAAAGTTATAGCAGACGAATTCGGAGATGTTTTTGCTACTCACGTGCAATCAAAAGTGGATTCGATGTTTACATACAATTACTTTTACGCCAACTAGGGAAAAAATCATGTATTTTATACCGTACTCCGACGAGGAAATGTCGGCTCTAATTCATTCGCTGAAAAGCAAAAGATCTTCTGGTATCGACGAAATTCTTGCTTGCCCACCATATTTCTGATAAACTCAATGTCTGGAAAACTGGAATCTTTAGGCATAAGACGGATCATTGGATCGGCATTACTTTTTTTACTATACGTGAACGATTTACCTGAAATCTTTAACAGTAACCGTCGAGTTTTCATGTACGCGAACGACACGTCTCTGTTGCTGTATAATAAATTTTGCATGCAAAATCACCTAATCATAAATTTAGAGAAAACAGTTGTGGTTGTATTTACTGGCCAGTACATTAGACCTTTATATGACTTATCCTTTAGTTTCTCTGGAACATCCTTAGAAACAAGTCAGAGCACAAGATTTCTTGGCTCCTACGTTGATGCATCATTGAGATGGGATCAAGACATAAATAGTGTTTGTAGCAAACTAAATAAAACATTCTTTGCCATATAAACAATTTGAGATTCATTTCTTGAGAGATACTCCTCATACATACGGCATACTCCTCAATTTCTTACAACATTATGAACTGGGGGCAACCTAGTGATGTGAAAAGGTGAAGACAGTCTTGCAAAGAAATATTTCAGCATCACAAAATAAAACATTTACATACGAAAAACATTGATGCCCATTGTCACTACACTCTTAACAGAGAAAATCTCTTAAAGCGTAAATTGAATCACATATTTAGTAGATCTTTAGGCTATGCAGGGCCACACTGTTATATGTTCCCGTCAAGCTTAAAGAACCTTTCTACCAAGCAATTTAAGAAACATATCAATATGCTTCTGACAACCAATGCTTTTTATAGCCTAAGTGAATTCGAAGCGCGTGTTCTAAGTAAATGTTTGTAATGTTATATTGATGTATTTGTATTGTTTGTTATATACACATCTTATATGATTGTCCTATATGTATAACTTCATTGTAAGACATACACATTTTCTATTTCATCAATTTTAAATCATTTTAATGTTATAAATGATCTATATATCTATCTCTCTATTTGGTTAGTTTCTGTTGGTTTGTTGTTTGAGTTGATAGAGAAGAGAGATGATTTACAAATACGTACATGGCAGTAATGGATTTGGGTCCAACATTTAACGAACAGAAAGCGTTCGTCAACTGTCAAATTAGTGTACAAATTTTCGGTTAGGTGTCAATTAAGTATCACCCACACACAAATCAAGAAGCAAGTTCCTCGCTAAACCATATTTTTTCATTTCAGTTCGCAATAAAAGATTGTCCGCATCCTCTTCCGTCCAATATTCGTAGAACATATATCGGGAAAAACTCGTTCCTTGATGATTATTAAACATGGTCGACGGCCGTTTGAATTTCTTCAAAATCGATTTCTCGATCTTAATTATTACGAAACAGGTTAGTGCAATGCTGCATTAACGGGTCTTTAATTAAAAGGAATGCGCTCCGTACATTAAACCATAGAGGAGCAATCGGAAGTCATGATATCTTAAGGAATATAAATATATATAGAGTGAACCAAGTTGGACGCTTTTAAGGGAAACTTCCCTTCCTATAGGAAAAATAATGTCGATGTGTGGTACTGCATTTACGTCTATTCATGGATATAAGAAAGTGACTAACTGATAGGAATCAAGGAAAAACCCGGGCAAGCTGTAAGAATGAAATATGGCCGAACAGGTCAGTACTTTGCTTAGAATTTAATTATTTGGGATTTTGTTAGGAAAGATACTGAACAATATTTATTTATTTATGTATGTATTTATGTTAAAATCAAAAATAATATTATAAATTATTTTCATTACCTACTTAAATTACTTAAAATTGTTCACATAATATATCAGTATCACTATCGCTGTCATCGCCTGTTCTAATATGGATATACCCTTGTTCTGCTGTTTCTATATATTTAACAGAATTTGCCCAACTTTGTGGAGGGAATGTTAAAAACTTCGGTTTCTATAAGTTTGAGGACATTGCAGTTAACACAGGGAAAAACATTGTTACGACGAATGGCAGATTTCAGTTGGTGCCAAACATGTTCAATGGGATTAAATATACAGTGGTAAGGTGAAGGTGTATGAAACTGTATGCCCTAGATTTTTTGCGTAATTATCACAGACGTATTCCTTTTGTAGGTTCAAGCTTTGTAGAACCTCAATTAATCGCTTTTTGGTATGATCTTCGTGAAAATAAATGTCGTTATTATACATGTAGTTTTGGATTATTGCTTTTGTGTCACATGAGGAAGGGGTTTTAGTCAGCTGTCTACTGCGATAACTTGCATTGTCCATTACAATTATGCTATTAGGAGGAATGTCTGGAACTAGTTTGTTTTGAAACCAACTTTCAAATAAATCAGCGGTGGTGTCTTCATGGTAATCCAGAGAAGAATCTTTAATATTTTTCGCAAACAGAGAAAGTCCCTTTGGAATCCAACCATCTTTAGAGGCAGCATGCAAAATTTCCTCTTTTTGATGGCGCGTTTGTTTTACACTTTTTAGTTGACTCAACCCAACCCTTTTCCGGGGTATCATAAGTGTCAAGTGTCATCCAAGTAAATAATTAACCTTTGTTGTTCTCTGTAAATCCTAAGAACCTTTTTACCATATTTTTATAGCCAATGGTTAATTAATTATCAACAGAAATTTTTATTTTGTGCAGTAGATCATAATGTAAATTTTTATTTTTCCAAAAATATAGCATATTTCACTGTTCAAGAGTTTTGAGCAAGTAGGATTTGGAAGGAACCGCCATAATACCAATAATAGAAACAACTGTGCACTGGTCGTTGTAATTACAAATGGGAAATGCAGGGGTACAAGCAATTTGTATTACAATCAATATCCTAAAAGAAACAACCTTTACAGACATTTTTGGGTGATTGGGACACTACCTAATTAATAGCAACCAGTTTGAAAAGAACTGGTCAAAGACTACATGAAGTCGGTATGAGTTACAAGAAACGGTAGTTTTAGCAGCCCTTAAAAAATAATTTTACGACGTCAATATTTAAGTTGAAGACCAACAACAGTAGCTAGTACCAACTTCCATTGAATCTTTGAAATTTATTTGAAAGGTTAAACAAAAACCAAGCGTCTTTACAACAAAAATGAGAATTTCTCTTCTGCATTTCGGTGTCCACAGCCTATTCGTTCAAAGTACAACACTATATTTTGCAAGAAAACTAGAGCAAAATATCAGATATTTGAAAAGGTAACTTTAAGTTCTTTTCAGAGATCCACAAATAACACAGGGTGTCCCATATAAAAATATCTATTAGTTTTCATCTCTGTCGCCTTTCCTTTCTCCTATATTATTCTGCCTATAAGTTAATTGTTCAAAAAAGAAAAAAATATGTAAATGCCAAAGATTTATGTTTTTTGTGACCTTTAAGAATTAAAAAAAGTCAAATTTTGACATGTTCTATATTTGTATTAAAGTTTTTAAAGCTTCAGGGGCAACCATAAGGTTTTGGTTAGTCACAAGGAAAATTGCTTCAGATTAAAAGCAAAACAATTCAGATATAACACAAAACGTTTCAGGGACAGGGCAAAAACTTTCAGTACAATAAGAAAAAAACAAATTTATATATAAAAGAATTGTTCTGACTACCACAAATGAAAATATTTATAAATTATTATATATTATTATTATACATGCATTATAAGGGGCGAAGAAAATAAGGCTAAATATTAATATAAAAAAATATACTTATTACATAAACACGTACAGCCGTAAATGTTAAAAGAATCAAATACATTCAGATCTAAATAAGTAAAATATAATAACGTAATATAAAAAATTGGACGGACAACGATAAGGCTAACCCTAAAAATAAGTTCTATAATTAAAATAGTCACTTAATTAATGAACCCAGCTGTCATTAGTGAATGCGTTTTTAAAGAAGCTAAATAGATTTCCTGACTTCTCTCAGCTTTTAATTTTGACGAAAACAAATTTCAAAAAATATATTAAAAATTCAAACTTCTTATGTTTTCTTAGATTGCTGGTCTAAGTATGGTTGGTACAAATACTAAAAACTGTTCATAAAAAACCGTAAGTTTATAATTAACAACTAAAAAATAAGCAACTGTTTTCGAAATATACAGTTTTACAATTACACACGATCGTATGACATATTAAGCATTTATGACGCAATGGAATGTTGTATATATGCAAAAACGACAAATATTTAATACCCAGACTAGAGTATAGTTTGAAAAATATGTTTTGAACCAAAATTGTTGACTATATTGTGGATCGCCGTTAACTATTTTAGGTTTACAGAGTACCGAGTAAGGTAGTATCACAAATTTGTTTACAACGTCAATAAGTTTAACCTAAGATTTTTAATCTCCTACTCTTACATTTAAAATAATTTATTGGTTAAATTTTATTCTTTATAACTTACCTTAATCAATATTTTAGTATATAAAATGAGTAGCAGTATTTTTTCACAGATCCTAAATAATCTCGACAGATAATTATTTTAATTGAAACGAAACTTGTATTTCAAAAATCAAAAAAACCATTAGACCACATTTCTATAAATATTTAGAAATATACCACTCTCAGAATTTTTTAATATCGCTAATTTTGCATTATCATTCTTTTACTTCTTTTTTAATGTGATTTAAGCATGCAAGTTCTGTATTTCGCATTCCTTCATACTCGAATATTGCAACAATTTGATTTTATTTCACTTGCGATCAATTTCCATCCATATTAAAATTGCATTTAATCATTTTCGGCCTTATATTGTCATCTCAAGTTCGTACGCAGCTTAATTAAAACATGATACATGCTTGTTGCTACCGAGTGCCCAATAAGAGCAGCGGCGTTGAAAGCGTCCCATCTTGTCTTGCTTATGTTCACTGTTAATATTTGAAGGTCCATGTATAGGAAGGAACAATTTTTGGTGCACTCGCCGGGTTGCCAAGTATTTCAATTTTTCCTGAAATCGATTTCCTGCAAAGCATCCAAGCTCATTCGCGGAACTTGGCCTTGACGAAGGAAGGCAGAGGGATCAAGTACAAGAACAAGTTGAAAACGATCATTCCCAATGCGAACGCGAATGTTATGCCGATATTCAAGTCGAAACCTAAAATTCCGTTGAAAATGTTATCCCCGGGGTCCCTGGTGTACCTCTCGGATAGATAACTTTGTCCATTGGCGTAGCGGCAGTAAGGGTTCGCAGGTCCGGTCAAGACGGACGTCTCGACAAAGTTCATGCTGGTGCAATTGTGTCTCCAATCGTAAGGGAGCGGATCGTGGAGTTGGGGGTGCAAGAAAACTTGCCGGTTTAGGAAAGCCGACGCGTATCTGGCCTGCGTCGCGTAGGTGAGATAGAAGAGCCATTCTTGGAGACCTTTAATTGACCTGAACATATTATAACAGTGTTACCTTATCATAAAAACATTATATTCTATATTCAGTGGTCCGTAGGTTATAAATTAACGTGATACAGTGCGACAAAATTTAGCTTCAGTAAATCAATCTTAGAATCAATGGTATTGGTTGTAAAGGAGTACATTTTAATTGGCTGTAACTTTATTGTATTTTGAGATCTCGAGGGAAACAAAAAAATGAAATGTAGGGTTAATAGCCATGTGACGTATAAAATAGAACACTATCAATTTTATGACATATAATCATATATCATATTTCTTTTCATGGAACACACTGTATATTAAATATATATTAATTAGAATATCTTATTCCGATTACAATGATGAAACTCACTTAATATTTTAGTACACTCGTTATTAGCAAATCGTCCCTGACTGCAAAAACAATAATTATTTACAAATTAAAGTAGAACAACAACACTAAAAGTGACAAGACACAGTAAAGTGAAAAATTGGTTAACTATTCTAAATAGTGCTGTAGTGACCACCATTTTCCTGAACACATTTGTCATACATTTTATTACAAGGAGTTCTGTGCACGTGATTTTTCATTGTGTCCTCAAAATAAAAAATACATTAATATTAGGTCCAACCTCTGGGATATTCCATGTTAAGAAAATTTTTAGCTTGCACAAAATTGTGAGGAGGGGGCCGTCTTGCTGCCATATAATCAGCGCTGATATATTTAGGGGTAAATCTTCTATACATTGTTCTATTTGGTGCTCGAAGATTTGCAGATAATGATCTTCATCTATAAATATCGGACCCAAGAAATGCACCACACCATTAATTGGTAAAGTCTGTTCATAGATATAAGAAAGTGACTAACTGCTGTAAGAATGAAATTTGGCCGAACAGGTCCGTACTTTGCTTAAAATTTAATTATTTGGGGTTTTATTAGGAAGGATACTAAACAATATTTATGACCCACCTCAATATGCCGCTGCTCAAAGTGAGACAAACGCAGGTGACGTATATGCTGAAAATGGCGGCGGAGAGGTGGTCTTTGACAATCATCAGTGTGGCCATGGTTTGCTGCTCGGAGAAAATGTAGCACGCCCAAAGAATCAGCCCGAAATAGAAGTACTCCATGAGCTGGTCGAAAGAGCCCACCAACCTACGGCAGTGGATAAAGTGTCATTCAAGTTTGACAATTTCATTGAAAATGCCAAATTTGAAGAAGGGATTCGATTGAATAATAACAGTTTTGAGAAAACCAAAAAGAAATACTATATTAATAGTCTATCTGATTGACTATTTTGTGCTGTTCTACATTTTTCTTATCTCATACGTCTATAGAGATTTTTTTTTACGTTGAATACAATGGAACAGCTGGTTACTTCAGATTTTTTTATTTTTTGGATTATGACATAAATTTGTGCGTTTAAATGGGATACCCCCCATAATTTTGCATTTTAATGCATCTTCTAAGGGCTTTTCGAATAAATATAACACAACAATTTATTTTTAGTTCAGGTCTGTATTCAATAATATAATATTTTAATATTACTTGTTATTCAAATAATATGAAATAAAAACTATATTACAGCATAATTTAATATATTTAACAATTAGTTCGTTCTACTTCATTAATATTAATTACTATATAGTACTACATTATGATTATAATTTTAGCTTAAAAAGTTTACTCGGGAAGTATTTTTATCCGTGTTATCTTTTTTCCTCTCGTAAAATTTGTTTAAATTTGTGTCATTTTAAGAATTTTATTTCTTAGTAAATCGTAAAACGTAAATCTAAATTTACAGCTAAAGAAACTGCTCAAATTGACCGTTATTATATTGAATGCAGTATAGGCATAATTATTTCTTCTGCTTAACGCATTAAGTAATATTAAATAGATCGTGCCATTTAAAATTCGAAAGTCACTATCGTTTCCGCTCAAACCAGAAAAATTTGACATTCATTAAAAGTTATAGCGTTCCCACTTTCTTGTGTCACCCAGTATTAGGAAAGCCTATATAAAAATACAAAAATTCATGTCATAATTAAAAAAAAAAAGAAAAAACTAGTCACTCCATTGAAAAGTCTCTATAGACGGATTTTTATTTTTAGATAGCTTGTTGGAGATACGAGCAGTGCCGCAAATAATCTGGTTGTTGGTTACTGATAATTTTTGGTATTTTAAAATTAAAATTGTTGTTTTGATTTTGTTGTGAGTCGAGAGCTTAATGTAATTAAATAAATAAATATTATATCGCTTTTTTACATTGCATTGCTAGAGTACTTACGGAAAAACAATGGCACTCGCTCCTAGGACAGAGATGAACGAAAACGGTAGGGACACGATATTGTATGTGATCAAAAACAACGTGCCACCATATAAGCCTTCTTGGGACTCCTGAAAGTATCTAGTCCTGTAAATCGGATCTAAAAAAAAAATAAACGTAAGGCATTCAAAGCTAATTTATTACAATTTGTTATTACATATTTTACAATTATTTTATTAATTATTTTACAGGGTGTCCCGAAATTAGACGTCAATATTTTAACTAAGTATTCTGTGTCTCAAAATAAGGATAAAAGTCTTAGTTTTCAACATACAGGGTGTTCAAATTTGAAAAAAAATTGCCCCACATTCACAACCAAAAAAAAAATTGCGATACAAACAACTGAAACGCGTCATTAACTTCCAAGGCTTACTAATGATTATCTGCACCTCGATTGTAAACATTAAAATACAAAAAATAATTTGTAACTAAATTTTCAATAGTATATTTCTCGAAAACGGTGTGTTCAAGCGAGGTGTGACTAGGGTACCTTATTTACGCAGAAAACTTCAGGTTTTCAAATTTTTTCCACGCCTCCCCTGTATTACCCACCCACCAATCCAATACTAAGTTTTAGTTCGTTAAATACAGCCTAAAAACTTTAGTACCTGTACCAAATTTTATTTTAAAATATTTACGTGTTAATTAATACGTATCAAGAGGCAAATTTTATTAAAATGTCTAGAGTCGTATTACAGGAATTAAAAAAATATATTTTATTTTTCAAAACTGAAGTTTTCTTTTTAAAATAGACCCAAAAATCACCCCCCTAATTATCGACATTCAATTAGAAAACACCCTGTATATTGTAATCAATTAATTTTCAAGACTTTAAGAAAGATTTTTTTACGTAGGATCGTGTATTTTTAAAAGGGACATATGAACCATTGCTCAAGCAAATATTTTTAGTCATGTTCAGGAATAACATTCCAAAAAAATTTTAACTTTTTACGTCATATGATGCCGTCAAATATTTGAGATCTTCCTGTAGATAATGACGTTTAATGCGGCCCCAAGTACTTACACATTAGAACGGCGTTCAAAATTCCTGAAAAATAAACTCCTGCCAAACAGTTGAACACCAATCCGTTTCGAGTGATGAACGTATGTTGAGCATTCTGCAAGCACAAAAGAATGACCAAATAGAATACCAGGCGGTTTCCTTTGCCTATTGGGCTCGCCTTACCTCCATTTTATTGTAGAAGATCCATAGAACGAAAAAAAAAATGGGCACGAAAAACAATCGCAGGAAAAGTTGGCGCAAGCCAGCTGCGTGGAAGGAAACGGTAGCCGTCAAAAGTCTCCTGCAAGCGAATGAATAAAATGTACCTCATCTCAGACACTTATACTCTTAAAATTATAATTCTATATATAGGGTACGTATAAAAATACAAAACTTAGTTGCTAGTTACCTTTGAAAGTACTTACCACCATGGGCTCTTAATATTACTGAGAAGATTATCCTCATTATAGTTTTGCATTTTCGATTTAGTCTCATAAATAAATAATAATATCATATCACCAATAGACCATTAGGCCAATTGTATTGATAATTTTTATAGGAAATTAAATGCTCTACAAAAATGATCTCCCATTTTTTCGATAAATCGGACTATTTCAAAGGCATTCGAGGTCAAAGAATGCGGAATCCAAAGAAACATAACTTTTTGTTCTGAATTTTGTTATTAACGGAAAAATAATTATCGTGAAATGTTTCCAATTAACCTTATAGGAAATTAAATGCTCTCTTGTGGTTTATCTATAATTCGAACCATTTTGAAGATATTTGCATTGGAGTCCCAATGTATTTATATATATTCGTAGTTTTTGATAAATATTTTGAATTTATTCAGTGAATTAGTAAATTTTCAGATTATTTATTATCTATTTATAAAAAAAAGTTCTTTATTCACTAAATATCAATAAATGCATTAATAAGAAAAGAATTCTCTTCCACCATATGAAATGTTATACCCCAATACAGTATTAGTGGTATTTTTTATATTTAGCTATTCAAATCGACTTTTGTTGCAGTCAAGAGATAGTCCTCGACGTTCTTTGACAACTTGCAGCAAGTATTGAAACTCTTTTTCTTTTTTTTTTCTTATAATTCTCATCTAAAGCCCACAATGCAATGTCGACATCAAGAAAATAATATCGTAGATCAAAGATTTTGGACAAATTCAATAATTTTACAGGAACGATTAGACATATTTCATGTAGATATCTTATATACAGAGTGATTCACATTGAATAGCCTAAAACGAAATTGGCAATGACAAATAGTAAACTATATTTTTAAAATATTTTGCCAGATCTACCGAATATCAATGGCAACATTGGAATATAAAATAGAACACAATGTACATTAAATTAAAAATTTGACAGGAGTTGTCAACTTTGACAGAAGTTGAAAAATATTGATATTTTAATTTAATCCGTTTAGATTTTATGGCATATCAAAGTTGTAAACCGTCCACTTTTCAATTGTCAATTTCAATATCTCGAAATTAGATGAAATTAGGTATAGGAAAAAAGGATTTCTTTTGAAATGGATTTACTGTAGATCTTGCAACGCTGCCCTAGAAAAAATATTTTTTTAGTTCTCCAGAATTATTGATAGCCTACTCAACTTGAATCACCCTGTATATAGTCGATCCGTTTCTGACATATTTGGAATTTCATATCAAAAGTGTCATTTGCAGGTCTATTTTAAAAAGCTGACGTAAATTTGGAAATATTAACATTAACATTGTAAAAATGCTGTGATGATGACACAATCGAGCACTACAGAAACTTCACTATACATATAGAACAATATAAAATTTTAAATATTTAAGTAAATCCAGACAACTTTTGTCTCTAAGTTTTTTTAATATTTTTTAACGGTTCTAATGTAAGAGCGTCGTAGAAATTTAAAAAAAAGTTTTAAGTCGACCAAGATAAAATTCTTAATTTTTTTTCAAGCAACTGAAGTGGCCGCCACCAGCTGTTATTGTAATATTGATTTTTTTAAGATAAAGTTTCTGCAAATGCTCTTCTAGAGCAGCTCTATTTTTGAAAGGAAGATGGTGGAGGAGTTCAATAAATATCGATAACTCCAAAAAAGAGTGCCTTTTGATCAACTTCGAGTTTTTATGAGGGGCTTCTCCCAGATTAATAATAGTGCTATAAGTAGGCGATTAGGATTGTTTATTTTGCCACCACGTTGACATTTTCTAAGATAATTGCAATTAAATTTTAACTTTTTCTCACCTAAATTACGTTTTGGCATTTTTACCTGTTGTGAAATATTGATTGTCACTTATTTTTTCATTGAAAGTTATCGAAAAAGAGATCAAAGGAAAGGCGATCATGAATTACAAACTTTGTAGCCACGCCTTACCTTATTTTGCATAATTTATGTCAATCGATTCAAGCGTTATGGAAACAACCACTTACGCGAGTATGGTCCAGCCGACCGACATTTTGTTAGGTCGACCTAGCAGCAACGGAATTTTATGTTCCGACGGATGTCCTGGTCCGTTGATGGATGTCGTCTTCCGGTAAGCCCCGCCCTCGATCTTGAATTTTTCCACCAAAGCGGCTATTTGGTGGTTGCTCTCCAGGAAACGTTCCCTGGATCTCCTATCCACCGTCGACAGACACACTGCAAGGAAAACACCAGTTAGGGAACGAGGAGGTCTAAAACAAGCAACGACTTCGAGATCGACTTACGGTAGTACATGAGAGGGTTTTCCAATTGGGGACATGGGAACCCGATGGCGTCGAAATACTCCAGCATTTGCCTGGTGCCCCCCGCGTACACGACGTCCCCCAAGCATAGATACAAAACTCGATCGAGAAATGGGAAAACGTCGGATCTGGGCTTCTCCATTGTGAGAATTATGGCGGAGCCGTATTTCTTTGCTGCGTTGGACAGAATCGATATCACCAGGTACGTGTTTAACGGGTCCAAATCCCAGGTGGGCTCGTCCAACAGCAATACCACTAGGGATACAATAGAACTGGTTTTCACTGTATTCAGTGATTCATTATAACTGTTATGAATATATTACATAAAAGTATATTCTACAATTTAGGAAAGATGACTATTACGTTAGCAATGACACCAAGCATATTCTTGTGGCAATTGCTGGTGTCATCATTATGACCTAGTCCTTATTTCGACTATATCGGTAATAGAAATACATTAAGACATTTTCCTAAATACACAGTTGGTTAGTTTATTAGTTATTAGTTAGATTTTACTCCCAATTAGTTCTTTAATGTAATCTATATTGTCAAGCTGAACAAAAAAGAATCTGGAAGAATAAGATGTGGGTTGTTGTCTGGCCAGTAATTTGTTCCGTATGGCCCAATCCACGTAACATACCTATTAGTTAAATATTCTGTTATTAGAGCAAAATTATCAGGAACGATGCAGTATAGTTTCTATATTTTCTATATTTTCTATATTTTCTCGTAAAATTCTTAAATAAACGACGTCCCAAATGGATTTTCTACCGAAAATTTTTCTATTGAAAGTCGATTCGTGAATCATTGTCCAACATTGGGAAGATATGTCATGAAAATTGTAATCGCTGAGTCTTATTTTGGTCAGTCAAATGCGGAACTTTGGTTAATTCAATTCAATTATTTTTTCAAAAAGTTCTAAAAATTTTTCTTAAACTCTGCTTCAAATCTTTCATATCTTGGCGTATGAAATTTATCTAATCTTCCATTTTTTTTAAACATTACGTTATTTTATTTAATTACTGATCAGGAATTAAAACGCGCTTCCTAGTTTTCTCTTTTTTAAATGTACAAATATATTCGTGTCCTATTTGCATTTTTATCATTTTTTATATGCAACGAGAATATTTTAATTTTTCGCCAAGTGCAAACACTATAAATAAACAAAAGATGATACATAGCCAACAATATATATAATATAATCCTGCAAATCCTGCATCCGACTGGAATCCTGCAGACGTTTCGCCTAACTAACCAAAATCTCACTTGGCATCTTCAATGCTCGCGCTCCGAAAACACTTCGAACACTGGTGTGTGGTGTGGAAGTGTTTTCGGAGCGTGAGCATTGAAGATGCCAAGTGAGATTTTGGCGAAACGTCTGCAGGATTCCAGTCGGATGCAGGATTTGCAGGATTCCAGCCGGAGTTCAACGAGCGAACGGATGATATCCCGGAGTATAGTGTCATCACATTTTTCCATCAATACGTGAGAATATATATATATATATATATATATATATATATATATATATATATATATATATATATATATATATATATATATATATATATATATATATATATATATATATATATATATATATATATATATATATATATATATATATATATATATATATATATATATATATATATATATATATATATATATATATATATATATATATATATATATATATATATATTATATATAATGTTATATTTAATGTTATATATTTTTGAAATAAGCGTAATACAACCTTTTTATGAAATAATCTTCGAGGATTGCAATTTTAAATAATTGAACTTATATATACTATGCTTTTTTGACTAACCTTGTAATTAAATAGGTATATAATACTTAATCTGCACATCAAATCTTGATTCCATTTGATATAAAAATATATATTGCACTTTATTTGGAGTTATTTTTGTTATCGTTGTAATACCACAATTTTATTTCTAAAAATATTCAGTTTTTTCTAAAAGTCTTACGTTGAAAAGGGTCTACACTTTCACTTTTTAACTCTTCGCAAACTTCTATACTTCATTATCCATGAGCACGGTAGACCGTTTCCTTTTTTTTTTTCTGAAAAAAATGTTACCTGGATCTTTGATGAGCTGAATACCAATCATCAATCGTCTATATTCGCTTTTTGTGAGATGTTCAGTACACCTATTAGCCACCTGGGACAATGCCAAATCCGCCATCACTTGTTTAACTCTTGATGATTTGAGGTAACCCGTCATCTAAAATGAAAACAGCATTTTGCGGTATTACAAATTTATCGCTACACCTAGTTAACCTTAAATAAATATTTGATGAAAAAATAATAATTATACTCTTGCATTTTATAAGATATGGGTTAGAATTTTCTAATACCATGGACTTTTGTAGTTTTTGAATTCTATTTTTTCCGATTTGTGTCAAGCAAGGCCAATACAAAAAGTGGTAAATGTGAGAGCACAATACAATACAATACAATAATTTCCTAGCTTTCTGATCTACAATATGCCTCTTGTAATCATACAGAATATAGCTTTTTAACTTTGATCAGTAAATGTTTGGTATTGTTAATTTAATTTTTTTTGGAGAAACAATTTGTTGTTTTTGTTACAAAGCTAATTAGTTACATTCAGCTAATAGTTGACAGCTGCACCAAAATAAATCTTAATAATAATAATAATAATAAATTTGACTCCAAAAATTGTTTTCCTGGTCTCTTCAGTAAGCTTTCATAACCTAATCAAAAAGGCAAATCAAAATTTACTTCGCCTTCGCTTCGCAGCATTAACATCAACTACACAGAATGAAGAAGGAGTATCATTCGAAAAATAGTGATACCAAAACTGTATGCAAAATGTGACGTATGGTATACCAACTTTTGTGGGCGTGAAGAACAGCGTTTGCTCTACCGTCAGTCCTTGAATAAGATCGCACTTGTGAGTGACGTAACCGCATCTTTGTTGGAAAAGGCACAAACTCATCGGTTGATTGTTGAGCAAAATTTGACCCCTGATTGGTCCTTGGGCTCGCCTGGATATAACATCTAGGAGAGCTTTCTTTCCGCTACCTGAAATATTGGAAACCATCTTCAATCACGGACTGCATTTCCTAAAGGCCTCTAATTAAGGTAAGATGTCACCTAGTATCCTTTTTTTTACCTTTAGACCCAAGGACAGCTAGAACTTCTCCTGAATGCACCGTCAGCGATACATCTTTCAGGATGATCCCCGTTTTGATGTTCCCTATCATTCGTTGAATGCATGACCCTGGCTCGACCTAGCAGTTTAAATAGTTTTTTAACAATATAAAAGTTCAAATTTGGTAAAACTCTTCTAAACTCACTATCAGGAAATACTTTCAATAATTTCCGGATTTGAGAGATTTGTTGGAAGGCTGCGTGTAAAATGGGTCATGCAAAGGTCAAGTGTCATTTTTTTTTTACGTAAATGACCAACCAAGCTTACCGCTTCTTGCAAATATCTGACACTTTGCATTCTTGGTTATTTTTTTCAGTTTTTTCCTAACTTTTTATAGCACAACTCTTAGTAAGTACTTATAGAAAACGCTACTGGTAGCTGTTATCTAGCTTTCAACGGTTATTTTGCAAATTTCAACAAATTTCAAGTAATATTCCTTGGTATCAATTTTGTTTAATTAAAAGTTAGTAAGAACGGATTTCATATTTTTTACTGGCTTCTATTTAAACAGAATATAACATAAATGCATACTTATAAGTAGACCTTTATAACTACAAATATATTATAAAATACTTGTACTACTCAAAAGTGCGTACTTAAAAATAACGTTACATTACACTTATGCATATTTTTCTAGAGATGGGAAAATAATCTAACTAAATGCACACTTATAAGTACACATTTATAACTTCTAAGTATATAATAGGTAGATGAAATTAAAGTATTTGTAAGTTCCTAATTATAATATGTACTTATAAATACCGCATTTATATAGGATGCTTACTCATCCCTCGCACTCCTAGTATATTCTTTTATTTAAAGACAATATCTAGATCACTAAAAATTGTCGATATTTTCTAAAACTGATTGAAAGGAAAGGAAACGAACTTAAAATAATTTCCGCTCATATTGGTATATATAATATTTTGTACCATCAAGAAAAATGAAACTAACTAAACAAACAAAGAAAAATTGTATTTGTTTTTTTTTAATTAAAAATACAAGTCTAATAAATGAAAAATATCCCGCATCTTAAAAATTAAGTTGTCATAGAAAATATGATATGAAATTGTGAAATGTAAAAATATGACAATATTTTCTGGGCATCAGTTTTCTTTAATTGCAACTTCTTTAATTTAGGTTATATTTTTTACTCGCCCGGTATATTTAGAAGCTAGAATTATTGATAATATCTAAAACTAAAACCAGGAAATTAACTTTACTTCCGGAAAATAATTTTTGACCCCATTAGTATAATATATATTATTGTATCCTTTTTGTTTTTTTAAAAAGTTGTGCAAACGTACAGTATAATTTCTTGTATGAAAAATTACATTAAATATATTTGCGCCGCGAAACAAAAGTTTACAAAAACATTTTTTTTCTTAATTGAACAAAAGCAACGCATAAATATCGAATAATATTCAGTTATTTTTAAAGTTCAATAAAAAAGTATTTTAAGCAGTTTAAGCCTGTAATTAGAAAAATCAAGTAGTCCTAGAATAATATTTTCTTAGTACACATTTTATTTCATTAAAGCTTGTGTACTCTTCCTGTAAAACAAGGAAATCAAGTTCCTTCTACGCAATTATTTTTAACTTTTTGTTTAAAATACGATATACCTATATGGTATGATTTTTTATAGTAAAATTAAATTTGCATTAGATTTTGGGCTGCCAAGAAAAATATTTAAAAAAATTCTTCCTTCATTGAACAATACACTTTGTAATTGATATGACATTGATATTTTAATTGTAATTATGTTTCTGTATATTTTCTTGTTATCCGATTGACCTAATGTCTACTATTAAAATTAACATTGCGAGCCATTTTCGAAAATCAGGAACAACATACGCAATTATTAGGTACTTACCTGCCCGGAGTAAAAAACGTTGCATAGTTCGAGAGTGTAGTCGCTTCCGATCATTTTTCCACAGGGAAAACGGCCTATCTTACCAAATTCCACCTGCACCTCGATAACAGGTATTCTATTGTCCCCAGTTACATTTCTGAATAATTCATTCTTTTCGATAAGAACCGCATTACCTGCCGACACATTCAACAGGTAATCGTCTATACAGGTAAACTGACTTTTGTCGAAGTCAGAAGCTCGCAGAGAGGTGAAAATAGCGGAGAGTAGTTTCGAGTCCATTTTGGTTGGGTAGGTGGGTCGGATAAGTGGGGGAGGGGGGGTGACTGGTGGGGTGTCTCGTGTTCTGTTGTGTAAGGGATGACAATAATCACATACACATGTATACTTATAAATATGTAATTCATGTAATTAGCATTTTCTACGTGGAAAAAATCGCTTTTATTTTTTAACGTTTTTGAAAAATTGTTTTTTGATTTTGAAAGAACCTTCAACAGCAAATTCGACATTTTATTCAGCATCTTTTTTACTTTTATGCGAGTTGCATTTTGCCGCTTTTTTTTATTTGAAAATTATACGGGGTTATGTTTAATAAATTCTGCAAGGTTAATATAATTTCTACATTTTTTCGACTGCTAAAATTTTGATTATATTAAATACAGTCAATAAAAATATATAACTTATCTATTTACATCCCGACCCAAACAATACTTTGGTTGAACGTGGTGGACGCTTTTGATAAATCAACACTCATTTCTAGTACAGCTTGAACAGACTATCTTACAATTAGCACTATCGGTACTGCCATCCAATTGCAAAGGTGCAATGGAAAATTTAAATTAAATAAAATCAGCAGCTTTTTTCACGTTTATATTATTAAATATTATATATTTTTTGCCAAGATTTGCTGCTACATTGGCATAGTATTAATAAAATTTTGCTGATTATAAATGAATTACAAATACATTATAAGTAGGCATACTTGAAGAACTTAAAACTCTCAAGTACCTCAGTATAGTATAAGTATACTATAGTATAAGTAATGATATAGTTATACCCCATGTCTATTCTAAGAGAATTGAAAAGAATATAAATATATTAGTACACAGTTACAAATAGAAATATATTATAAGTAGACTCAATTAAACTACTTGTAAGTTTCTACTCTTAAGTACGTACTTATAAATACCATATGGGAACTTATGCCGAGTGTTTACATTTTCCTATTTGAATAGATTAAAAAAAAACCTTTATACTTATAAGTGCACTTCCAACTACAAGTACATTATAAGTAGTTGCACTTATAAATACCGCAAGTACCGTCACTTATGTACTTATACTGGGTTTTCACTCATCCCTTGCATCCCTAATACGTTTTTCTTTTTAAATGGATGGAAAAGCATCTAATGTAAATGCATACTGCATAAGTGTTTAATGTAAATCTACCTTTATAAAGTGTGAACCATCTATACCGAAAGAAAAAGCGGGCACATCAGGTAACAAAGTAAGGAATGTAGGCCAATAGAGTCTCTTACCTCAAAATTCCTTACCCTAAGTGCAAAGAAAAATCATTGAGGCCGAGGCGGCAGGCAGTTCTAGTAAAAAACTAAGAAAGCCAAAATTTGAAGATTTGGATCGGGCAATGTTGCAGTGGTTCCAACAGCAACGTCTTCAAAATGTACCACTCTCTGGACCTATCGTAAAACTAAAAGCAGAAAAATTTGCTGAACAGCTTGGCATTATCGATTTCAAGGCTTCGGAAGGAGGGTTGGAGAAGTTCAAACAGAAACATGGTATAAATTATGGACAGAAAAGTAGCGAAGTCCGTGATGTCGACAGAAACGTCACTAACGATTGGCTGGGGAAGACGTGGCCAAAACTAGCAGAAAAGTACCCTGGTGACGACATTTTTATGGCTGCTGGTATTTTTTACAAAATGGCGCCAGGTAACTCGCAACGAAAAGTGTGTGGGTGGAAAACTTTTTAAAGAACGTATGATAGTATTAGTAGAAAAAAGGAAGCTAGTCGTGATTGGAAAGTAAACTAACCCAAGATTTTATGGTGATAGATCAAGGATTTGCCTACAACAGCAGACTTGACAGAGGAAGTCATTTACAACAAGCAACAAATGGCGAAGAAGAGCACCAAGCGGAAGAAAAATATTAAGAAGGAACCACTACCAACAAGCCTTAGTTAAATGCTGAAAATACAAGCCAAAGTACGAGATTCGTATTGGCATACTAAAAAATTCAAAAGAAAATGAACTTATTTGAAACATGAAATGTAGTTCTTAAATATTTATATGAAATGGTCCTAAGTAAATGTAAAAATATGTGTATAAAAGTAATCAAATATTACAGAACACATATGCGTATTGTTATTTATCAAGTGCCTATAACTGTTTATAACGAAAAAAAAAGCAGTCCCTTCAATTTCGCTATATAGAATTTCGACTGTACTTTATAAGTAGACGAAGTTGCAAGTGTCTACTCATAAGTCTGTAATTATAAATGCTCCGGGTAGAGGCAATTATGCACTTATACCGGGTGTTTACTCATCACTCCCATCCGTAGACCCATTTTATATTTGAAGAGAAAAACGACAGCCCCGACTTTTTTTAGTATTTTTAGTAATTCTGATCGATAATATTTTCTGGCTGCATACGTGCTCGAAGAAAAACCTCGGTGCTAAGGTAACGGCACGGGAAACCTTTGAAATTCTTCGAGCGCCTGGCGGTCGTCCGGGTCTCGTCACACACCGGCAAAGAATCGGAAACTTAGTCGAAACTACGTTCCGTTTGGAGGTAATCGCTACGCGGCGATACACCTCCGAGTCAACATTTTTATTTTACAACGTTGGCAGCGGATTCTTGACTCCTGCAACGTCATATTCAGGTTAGGCCATCCGTGTAGCTTGTACAATCTCCTCTGCTGCGCGGGTACTCACTTAGACTACAGTGTTGGGTGTCACACGCATGGATTGACTTGGTGTGTGTGTACAATCTCGGGAACTCGTGTTTTTCTCGGTATTTGAGTGTCGGTCGAAAGTAAATAGGCAAAATTGTTGTGTTGTGTGCGGAAATTTGGATGGTTAAAAGAGACAGCAGCGATGACCGGTGAGTTAAGTTTTGTGCTTTAAGATTTAGGACCAAGATTTGAAAATAGTTTTTGAATAAAGTTTATTGTCACTAGCTACTTCTAACATTTCCTTTACTTTTGACACACGTACTGAATGTGCCCAAAATATAATGGTTGTAGAAAAAGTATTGTATGCAGCACGTTGACAAAATTTCAATATTTCTGTTATTTATTTATCAACATTGTACAACAAAAATACGTTAAATATATACAAAAGTTTTCCACAGTGATGCCAAAGGAAGCTTTTGCAACTGAGCTAAAAGTGGGTTTGCGTTTTAGTAAATTAGGTAAAAAAATGTATGTTTCTCTCCACAAAAACGAAATAAATAAGAACTACTGCTACTATATATACTGAAAAATGACAATAAAACCTTAATTAATGTTGTTGTGCGAATTTAAGTTCAATAAAGGAGAGGTATTTAAATCTAACTCATCGTTAAGCAATACATTTGAATGTCTCATTTTGTTAATCTCCAGAGCTTCCAATAAATTTAATTTTCTACTTTTTGTGGCTATAAATCTATAAACAACCTAATAATCTTAACCGCGACTCGGGTCTCTGTTTATGTTTATGATGTTTATGCCCTTCATTTAGCTCCGCCCTCCTCAAAAAATATATAAGCAGATACAGAGTAAAATAAGAGCCATTTTCAGTGAAGCTCTGAAGAAGCCAACAGGATGATTGGCGAAACGTCAGCAAGTTCGACTCAGGAAATTCAGTTCGTCTACAATATTCTTACCTACATTCGAGAAATGATTATTCAACTCTTTAGCACTAGCATCAGAATTATTCACTAATTTATTATTTGCAATTAATTGCTCAATATTAGTTTTATTATTTTTTGTAAATTCGCAGCACAACTCAGTATCTTCCCTAATCGCACACACTCTCTTGTATAATCCGTCCCGTTGTTTCATCAGTTCTACAAGTTCCACTGCAATCCATGTGTTATTCTCTCTGCTTCTGACTCTTTTTGAATATTCAGATTGATTTTTACAAGTGTTAATTCGCTCAATTAACTCCTGAAATTCCTTTACATTGACTTCTCTAATGGATTGTTTAAATATATATTTAAATTTCTCACTATTCACTGCTTTAATACCATAAGTAACTTTAGGCTTCTGGATTTTGATATTTTCAGCTATAGTAACTATTACGAGGGCAGCGCCGAAATTTCCCGTCCTGAATATAAAAGAAACAAAGTAGAGTAACAATTTTGTATTATTTTTCAATACACTTATTACATCTCTTTATTAACAACTCAATCAAATGAGCAAAATGAGCTAAAACAGCCTCTTTTAACTCAACTTCGTCGTTAAACCGCCGTCCACGTAAGTCCTTTCTCAAATATCCAAACAAATAAAAGTCTCTGGGGGCCATATCTGGACTATAGGGAGGATCATATATCTATTGGAACCCACACTCTTTGGAACGCACGCATCTGGTCAATTTTCCTAGACGTTTTACACGTATGCAGTCTCGCAATTTATGTAATAATTCCTTCACAATCCCAAAAGATCGTGGCCATCACCTTTTTTGTTGACTGGCAGACTCTGAATTTTCTTGGAGGTGCGCTTTACCCTTACGACGCCACTCCATTGATTCTTTTTTCGATATAGGGTCATAATAGAGAACCATAGTTTCATTTCTCGTCATAATATAAGGTTGTTCGGAAAGTCATTTCGTTTTTTCCCGTCAGAGGACTTAATTACGTTTTTTCGAAACCAACTTCACACTTGAGAGCTGATATTGCAAGGCTTGTGTGTGAAAAAGTTCTATTAATTCTACGCAGTAGTTTTTGGTTGGTGCCCTTTTAAATATGGAGAGCAATAAGCAGCATTTTCGTCATATTTTACTTTTTTACTTCAGAAAAGGTAAAAATACTGTCCAAGCGAGAAAAAAAATTGACGGATGTGTATGGAGAAGGCGTGTTAATAGTACGCCAGTGCCAGAACTGGTTTGCAAAATTTCGATCCGGCAATTTTGATGTCGAAGATGCACCACGGTCTGGAAGGCCGGTCGAAGCTGACAAAGATGCGATAAAGGCATTAGTTGATGCAAATCGGCGAATAACCACACGAGAGATCGGTGAGAGATTAAATTTGTCGAATTCGACTGTTTATGGCCATTTGAAAGGCATGGGCTTAACCTCGAAGCTCGATGTGTGGGTGCCCCATGTCCTTACGGAGCGAAATTTGTGTCGTCGCGTTGACGTGTGTGATTCGCTCCTCAAACGTCAAGAAAATGATCCATCTTTGAAGCGGATTATTACTGGGGACGAAAAATGGGTTGTATACAACAATGTTAAACGCAAGAGGTCATGGAGCAGAAAAGATGAACCGGCTCAAAGCGTGTCAAAAGCCAACATTCACCAAAAAAAGTTGATGCTCTCCGTTTGGTGGGATGTCAAAGGAATAGTTTTTTTTGAGCTTTTGCCGGACAATACAACGATTAATTCAGAAGTCTATTGTCATCAACTGGACAAATTGAATGGTTCACTTAAAGAGAAGAGGCCCGAATTAATCAACAGGAAGGGTGTAGTGTTCCACCAGGATAATGCGAGACCTCACACAAGTTTGGTCACTCGCCAAAAACTTTTACAGCTTGAATGGGACGTACTGCAACATCCACTATATTCTCCAGATCTGGCGCCTTCCGACTACTATTTGTTCCGGTCCCTGCAAAATTTTTTGGATGGCAAAACCTTTACCTCAAATGAAGATGTCGAAAACCACCTGAACCAGTTTTTTGCCAGCAAGGACCAAAACTTTTATGAGAGGGGAATTATGTTACTGCCAGAAAGATGGCAAAAGGTGTCGGACCAGAACGGCCAATATATAATTTAATAAAATATTTATTCATTATACGAAAACTGTCTTTCATGTTCCCCAAAAAAAAACGAAATGACTTTCCGAACAACCCAATAGTTTCTATCACAGGCTTCGGTTCCGACCCACAGAGTTCCAAAAAAGACCGCGAACACTCGACACGGCGTTGTTTTTGGAATAGCCAAAAGGTTTTTCCACTAATCATACCTAAATGATCATGCAGGATTCGACGAACACTTGTATCAGAAGGCTTAGTAATTTCTGACATTTCCTTGACCTTTAAACGTCGATCACTCAATACCACCTCTTCCACAATCGCAACAATAACTTCCGTTATGACCTCCACTGGTCGACCAGTTCTTGAATCATCTTCAAGGGACTCCTGCCCCATTCGAAAACGTTTTGCCCATTCTTTCACTACAGAATATTGGCGCAAGACTTCAATTTTTTTTTCGCGCCTACTAAGATATATATTTAAAAGGAGACAAAGTTTTGTCGTGATACTGGAGCTGCATCTATGTCAAGCCGGAAAATGTTACAACATGATCTATTAGGCTATGACTATTTGCTGTCTCCCACGAGGCGTTCGATATATCTATTTTATACCCAATGTCAAAATTGTTTAACGCTATTACTATAATTATATTATTTCTATTAACTATCCGCCTACCCCTCCATTAACAAAACGTGTGTATCTCTAGTCTCCATTTAAAAAAATTATTTCTGCGTCACGCTAACGGTCGATCTTTGCGTTTTCGATTATCACACGGCGAGCGACGTCAAATTAAAAAAACGCTTCGGGCCGAAGTAAAAATTCCAATCGATATAGCATCGATCATGACGCGAGTAAAATTGGTTAACTGTAAATCTCGCCGTGGTACGCCATTGTAGCGCCCGTCCGTACTCTACGATTTAATGCGTAACCAGAAAAGGCAATTTCAGAAAACGATCCGTGGAAAAAATATACTTGGTTTGTCGAACCGGTAGTGGTGGTCGGTCGGTGATCGATTGCCTTTTATTTAGCGTGTATGTATTAGAGGTTACGTCATGATGGGCGTGGTTGTTGCTTTCGATACACTCAACAAATATAGAAAGCACGAAATTGACGAATATCCAGAATCTTAACGGGGAAACACAGTTGGCAAAAGAAGAGTGTGTCCGAAATTCGTTGTCGGTTTGAGGGTCTGCATTTCAGAGCTACAGGATGATTTTAAAAATTTTGCCAATTGAAGCAACTATCTACGTTGATATTTAAGCTAGCGAGAAAATAAAAATTTGTCTATACAGATTTTTTAACGTCGAATCCAATGGAGTGACTAATTGTTTTGTTTTTTTTATTATGACATAAAGTTGTGTATTTTTGAATGGGTCACCCTGTATAATTCGACGTCGACGCCGAAACTAAAAAACTTCTTGTCTGTCCAATTGCCATGTTACAAAAAGTACTCTATATTGCTTCTGCAATTTTATTAAGGCATTTAATTTGTTAATTAAGTTGTTTTAAATATTATGGCTGTCAACGGAGACTCTGGTAATATTGAAAAATACGGCATGGCGTGTTGTTTTGTGATGTATAATAAATAATATGGTATGTTTTGCGTTAATGTAAAATGTAAAAACCAATCTATTTAATTTTGGATTTTTTCGCAAAGGTTAGCGACAGTTAGAACGACTCCTACAAGAAAATTATCTGGTCTCATGACAAATTTAAATCAATTTTGTGAGAGGAAAACTGATAATACGGATAAAAATACTTCGTGAATAAACTTTTTAGTTAAAAAAATAATTTTTTACTAGATAGGAATTCATATTAATGAGTTAAAACTAATTGCTAAATATATAAAATATTGGTAAAATGTTTAATAATAATTTATTTGCATTTCAATTCCCGCTGTTCTTCTTTACATGCCGTCTTCTATCGAAGATGCTTCTCTATCCCCTGCAACATTGCATTCGTCCAGTCTCGAACATTTCTTATCATGCGTTCTTTTTCATTTCAAGGTAGATGCCCTAGGTAAGATGTTTTTCCGAACTTTAACTATGGTCATGACTTTTCTTCTATGTCCGGTAGGTCCTAATACTTCTGCATTGGTAATTTTTGTTGTCTAACGGATTCTAGGTGTTCGTCGGTAGAGTTAAGCTTCAAATG